ACATGAGCCCCCTCACAAAGGAGTCGAGGGTGAGGCCCAGGCCTCGGAGGAAGTGAGGGACAAACACGGCGCTCTCATTGGGCTCCGGCGTGGGGATAACTTGCCCTGGAGCAGGAAGCCTGTGCTGGATATCGGCGGTCAGGTATCCGACCTCCCTAAGCTTAGTTATATCCTCCTCCTGGATCGAGGAGGCCACCCACTGGCCTTTTGCGTCGGATCTGGACATACTGGAGGATCTGGGGTGTTGGAGCTTAGGTTTTGAGTGCTGGAGCTCGAGGTGCGAGAAGGAGCAAGAGAGGTGGAAAAGAGGCGTAGGCCTCGGCCCCTTTATAAAGGGGATGAATATCAAGAGTCCTCAACATGACCGCTTGAGACTTATCTAAAATACACGAAGTCATACCAACGATCGCCGTGGGGTCACACACGCCCGTATTGATGAAAGATCCCATAATAAGAGGAACACGGTCTCTGCTTTGACAGGACGTGCTAAGAAAACCGCCTCGCAACGTGAGTCAAGGTGGGGTAGGAGACGCCGGTTCGTATTGGACCAGTCCACGATGCAAGGGCACGACGTACAAAGATTGCCAGCAGAACGGATTTATGCTATGTTCCCTACAATGGTGTGTGAAGATCATCTTGCAGAAATCGGACACTATTCGTCGCAGCAGATCCGGACACGGTCTACATGTTCGATAATAACCTTGGAGTATTCGAAGAAGGAACCCGCCTTGCAATGCCGAAGACAAGACTGCACGCCGGACTCATCGTCATTGAAGCCTGGTTCAGGGGCTACTGAGGGAGTCCTGGATTAGGGGGTATCCCAGCAGCCGGACTATATACACCGTCCGGACTATTGAAGCGTGAAGATACAAGACACAAGACTCCGGCCCGTGTCCGGATGGGACTCTCCTTTGCGTGGAAGACAAGCTTGGCGATCCGGATATTATATTTCCTTCCTTGTAACCGACTCCATGTAAACCCTAGCTCTCTCCGATGTCTATATAAATCGAAGAGGATGGTCCTTAGAAGGCCGATCACAATTACAATCATACCATCATAGGCTAGCTCTTAGGGTTTAGCCTCTACGATCTCGTGGTAGATCTACTCTTGTACTACTCATATCTTCAATATTAATCAAGCAGGAAGTAAGGTTTTACCTCCATCGAGAGGGCCCGAACCTGAGTAAACATTGTGTCCCTTGCTTCCTGTTACCATTAGCCTAAGACGCACAGATCGGGACCCCCTACCCGAGATCCGCCGGTTTTGACACCGACAGTGTCCCCTCCCCCTCCTCTCTCCTCCCTCCCTCCATTGTCTCTGTTCTTGTAAATCGTAGGTAATTTAAATATAGATTTTAAATTTAGACATCGTAGACTGTAGGTTTTTTAATAGAATATTTTTTTTTGACTATTTTAGGTGTTTTGAATAAAATAGAAGTAAGAAAATTTAGGGTAGAACTAGGATAGTAGAATTTTTAGCAAGTGTTTAAAAGAAATAGTTTATTTAGTAAGTGATTAATATAACTAGTTTATTTATATTAAGTGCTTAATAGAACTAGTTTATTTAGTAAGTGCTTAATAGAACTAGTTTATTTATAGTAAGTGCTTAATAGAACTAGTTTATTTAGTAAGTAGTTAATAAAACTAGTTTATTTAGTAAGTAGTAAATAAAACTAGTTTATTTAGTGTTAGGATTATATATAAGATATTTTCAAATGTTTTTTCATATTTTGAACCATTGAAATGCAATGACCATCGATAAGTGGCCTATGTTTTGCCGGAGTGTTGATTAATTTCTGTTCCAGCAAATTTCAGGCGCTCGATATGTCCTTTTTTAGCAAAGGTCATGCCGGATTTTTTGGGTTTTGCTGTCAAGTTATAATCTTTGAATTTTGAACATAGGAGATGTCTGATGACGATGGGATCCCGGAGTGCAGGTACTGCTACGATGACCGGGGTTTGTGGACAAATTTCCTCACTTGAAAAATGATAGGTTTTTCACCGTGAAGCTGGAAGAGACCTTCGATGTTTGTACGGTACGCAACAACAAGCATTTCATCGTAATTAATATCATCACTTGTGCTTCTTTTGTTCAACGTGTAATTTATGGAATTTTTTTTCAATTCGATTAGTACATCCCGTGCCATGCTAGACCATATGTATTGGAGAAGCTTGGGTTTCGTTTAGATGACTTTGAGAATGTGGAGACGAGGAGGGCTCGCTTAAGAACTAAACATGGTTATGAGTTTCTGGTTAAGTTCTACAATGCGGTGGATCACTCCCATTTCGGTTGCTCTAATCGGGAAGCTCTCTGCAAGGCATATGGATTTGAGGAGGGAATGCGAATAAGATTTGATATTCGTCCCGAAGATTATGATGATGATGATAATATCGACATCTGGGTGGATGTGGATATGCCTCCAGTTTTACCTAGATGTGAGTTTGTCAAACTAATTTGTTAAGTTCAGTAATTTATGTTGTTAATTTATTTGGTGTTCGTCTGTACTAAACTTATTTATTTATAATTGTCATCTTATTTCTTATCTTCAAGAAATACTCGGAAGGTAGTAGACAGCACATACTACAGCTATGACGCCAACCTTAATTGTGAGGAGAAATGTTATCTTGTCTCATTCATACAAGATGTTGAGGCCTTCAAAACCAGTCACTCTATCAGCCCAAATTATACTAGATATGTGCCACTAGTCAATAAATTGCTTGATGGTAACTTCATTGCCAAAAACTTGGTAAGATTTTGCTAATGATGGTAACTTAATTACATACATTATTCTTAAGTAAACTACATTGCTAACTATATATGTTACTATTTCGTTTTTGAACAGAGGCTCCCGAAGCAGATTGTGCCTGACATGCTATTTACCGAAGGTGATATGCATATGGTTAGCTTACGACCAACTCCTTCGGAGGCTTACCATACTGCATACTTGATTTCTTCAAATGATGGAAGACTCAAAATCAAAAAATGGAGCAAAGTGATGAAAACGCGCAAGCAAATAATTGGAGACAAAATGAATGTGCGCAAGCCACAAGTTGGAGATAGTTTTATGTCCATTCTCCATTACGGTGAAGGACCGGTTTATCTGTTTTATGGTATTTTAGCTAGGAGAGAGGAGTAGGTCCTAAGTATTAAGAACAATTAGTTAGTATTGATTATTTATAACTACAATGTCTTAGACTGGATGGTGATGCTGAGTAGGAGTAGTGAATATGAGTACTATGATGATGAGGAGGAGGAGGAGGAGTTGTTATTATAACTAGTGATGAAGTTGTTATATGATGTCTCATCATGGACGAAAATGATGATTATGAGGAGTTATATGACAATGATATATTATGATAATAAGTTGTTAATGATATTATGATGATGATGATAAGTAATTATGTCATTAGTTTCAAATGGATGGATCCAAAGTGACCATTGGTTACTTTGGATCCATGCACTTGAAACTAATCCAAGGTTCTTTCACCTAGTGATTTAATAACTCATTATGATGTAAAAACAATCTCTAAATTGCTACTGTATGAAAAATTGTATACAGGTGTATGAATACAACCTAAAATTCAACAAAATGGAATAGAGAATAATAGTAATAGCGGTTGTTTTAGAAAGCACTACTAGTACTTAGCAGTAGCGATTGGCTTTAAAAGCGCTACTACTAAGTAGATATAGCTGTAGCGAGTGCCAGTAGGCGCTACTGCTAAGCTTTAGTTGTAGCGCCTTATCAGTAGCGCGCTTACCCGCGCTACTGATAGGCAAAACCAGCGCTACTGCTAGGCTTTTCCCTAGTAGTGATAGACTGTTATGCCTTTGAATTAGTCTCCATAGCTTCCTCATAAGGAGAGCTTTGTTAAAGAGGTGCATATCTCTAAAGCCCATCCACCAGCTCGCTTTGGCCTAGTCATGCGCTCTCATGACATCCAGTGAACCTTTCCCATTTAGTATGTACAGAAAAAGTAATTCAGTGTGTGAAACCTAGACACAGTCACGCAATGATCGATGTAGGCAAACAATTTAATTGACAGGAGTTGCCTTGTCAGACAAAAAAATGTGTTGCGCGCAACATTGGAGAAGGAAGATTATTTTTTCGTCATACAACCCATGGCACCATCAGCCGCCAAACATGTGATGAAGATTTTATTTATTTATTGCAATTACATGTGATGAATATTGCACATATATATGGTGATGTTTCACTGACCGGCATCCTTGAGAGCTTCAGTTCCAGTTTCAATGCAGGAAGGCTGCCTAATGAATACCAAATGGGTAATGAAAATATCACACACATGCATGCTGTCTCATAAGAAAATGCATCCAGAGAAGCTTCGATGCCTGCCTGCCTGCCTAATGGGGACAATGAAAATTGCAAAGAAGATGAGCCGCTCAATCTCCCCTTATGATATTGTTGGCTTGCTTAAGATATTAATTTCCATATTTACTGTTTACAAGTATTTGGATACTAAACCTAAACAGGCTGAAATTTACTCCTTTCATTTCTAAATATAAATCCTTTTAGAGATTTTTAATATGAACTACATACAGATGTATATAAACATATGTTAGAGTATAAATTCATTCATTTTACTTCGTATGTAGTCAGTACTGGAAAATATTAGGAAAGGAGCGAGGGAGTTGAAGATACACACACGAAGCATTATGTCAAAATATTCCTATAAGTTGGGACTAGCTAATTGATCGAAGACGCTCCAGCTTCATTGGAAATGTTTTTTCTTTGCATGGTAATACATGTCTTATTTATATATCATAAAGATGATAGTACATGTCACATAATCACCCATCTGACAGAACTTAATAAGGCAGCGAAACGCTTGCCTTTGCACAAAGTTACACCATCTAATAACAGAAATTACAACCAAAACTAAAGAAACCTCCGAGCTTAACATCAGCGGCCGTCAATGCTTCTCACACTCCTCTCCCTCTTGCGCAATCTATCATCTGTGCGTACGTATTGGCGTGCACGTTTAGTCTCTCCCGCCGGCGCCGCGGTCAATGCTTGCCATGTTTTCATCGCCGAAGTACCAGCAGACACCACGGCAAACTCCTCCGGGTGTGACGCACGGCTCGGAGGTACTACCGGCGGCCACATCGCACACCATCGGGATGCCCAGGCCGCTGATCCAGTACACGCAGTCGGCTCGTACCCGTGGCATGGCGCCGACGCCGGCGGCTCGCACCACCACCGGGCTGCTGTTCTGGCCGACGAACACGGAGCGGCCTCCTAGATCCTTTACCGCTTCCCAGGCCGGCCATTGTTTGGGGTCATATCTCAGGACGAAGATCTCGTCCGCGGGCGCAGTAGTCAATCCACAGCCCAGCTTGACGGGGGCGGCAGCTTTCTGCCATATCTGGTACAGGCTACCATGGCAGAAGAAGAGATGCCTGATTACCGTCAGCCTGGACGCGGCGTTGTACGGCGCGGGGAAGACGGCAGACAGGCGGATCAACGGAGGCAAAGTGGCCACGGCCGTAGCCTCCTGGCTGCTCTGGCCGTTCCTGGGGATGCGGAGCACGCGCACGGCCCCGCCTCTGTCGAGGCAATACAGCCTCTCGCCTCCGGCGTCCAAGGCCAGGTCGGCGAGAGCATCGCCATCGATGTTGTCGACGAGCGTCCACTGCATGCCCTTTACCCACCCGCTGCGGATGCCAACGTAGACCGCCTTCCCGTGATCACACGCGGCCATGACGGTGCCGTCGGCCGTGAACACGACCTTGCGTACCCACTCGTAGGGAAGTGGGAGCTCGACGACCACGCGGCCTCTGTGGGGGTCGAGGAGAAGGATCCTAGCGTAGTTGAGGTCGCCGTCGTCGACGGCGACAGCGAGGCGGCCGTTGGCTGAGCCGACGACGCGGACACGGCAGCCGGTGCGGCCGAGGCGGCTCAGGGTACGGTCGAGCGCTTCGCTCGACGTGTAGATGCGGAGCGAGCGTCGCATCGGGAGGGAGAAGACGGAGGCGGCGTCAGCGAGGGAGAGCAGGCAGGGGTACGGCGGCACGAGGGCGGATCGCCACGCGGTGCAGACGCAGCGGAGGCTCTCGTAGTCTCTCAGAGGCGAGCCGTCGGCGGCCATCATGGCGGCGATGGACACCACGAGCTCGCTGTGGAGATCGGCCCAGGACCTGGCGGGCGCCGTCATCGTCATGGCGTCCCAGCGTTTTGCGTGCACAAGGGAGGATCTTGGCGGTTGGCATCGTGTCCGCACGTTATATACTCAGCCCCTGATAGAGAAAAATCACGTACCAGACGGGGTCTCAAACCATCAATCGTGGACACGTTGACGCTTGAGAAAAACGACTTATTTCAAAGTCTTTTGTTTTTGGAATATCTCGACTCCTAATGTTTGAGTGGGTGAATAGTATCCATGGTTTATTTTTGTCCCATCACTTTCGTCCGTTTTATTTTGCTGGTTTTTTTCGTCTCACCTTCCACAACATCATCGGTTTGTTTATTTTTTCCACTATTTCCTTATAAACAAACACTTTCCTACCATACAAAAAGTCACAGATCTTACTTTCCTAATTTACCTAATTAACCGATTCATCTTATCAATGCAAGTTGCTTTAGGTAACAAATAATGAATTTTAAGAAAACAAATAACGGACTTTAAGAAAACAAATTCAATTTACTAATCTTCTTTCTACTCCTTCCTACGTCGCTCGTTCGTCTTCACCCTCCTTTTCCGCCCCGATTTATTCTTCCTTCCACCCATTTATTTTCTTCCAATTATACCTGTTTTCTCTGCTCCTAAAGGAGGAGTCTGCGGTCGCGATGGTACGTTAGTGGTCGTCGTTCGTTTCGTTCGTACGTCTTCGCTCTCGCGACTCCTCGCTATCGTCATCTCAAAAAAAATCTCGCTATCGTCCGTATCGTCAACCCTCCTATGAGATCGCTCCGCGGCCGCCTAAGACCGCAGCCCCGCCTGCAGCACCTCTCCTCTCCTGGCGGCCCTCCTTCACCGCAGTCTTCTCTACTCAGTCCCGTCCGCTTAAATCTCCTCGCCCTTGCGGCACCAATCAACGGCGACTGCGATCGCCGTCGACCACCAACAGCCACCCAAGTTATCTATGGGTTCTCTAAGGTGAGCTTCCCTACTTTCCATTTGTTCACATTCATTCCCTATTTGTGTGTGCCGATGATTTTTCTTGTATGAACTATAGTACAGCATGGTGAATAAATCTTGGTTCACGGATTTACCTTCGTGGAAGATGATTTTCGGATTTTATTTTCAGTTCGAGTTTCAATAAAATTCTTTTACCGCCCTGCCTCCAATACTATAGCGACTGGCCTGGATCCTCTGCTTTCGGCCGGCGCTGGCGCAAGCTGAAACTCATTCATGGGGAGCGGCGATAGTGGCAGCGAGCAGCAGATCAAGGCCTCCCAATACGCCCAGGATCAAGACATGAAACTTGCTGACATATTAGTTTTCTGCATTATCTTTAATTCTTTACATCATCATGTAGTTTTTTTTGCGGTTTAAACTTTGTATTACTCAAGTGGTAAGTCCACAGTCTGCATTACAAAGTTCAACCGCCTCTGACAAACCAGAGTTAAGCCACACTACTGTTCTACTCTTGGTTCTAGCAAAATTTGCCAAAAAATCACTAACATTATTTTGACTACGATGAACATACTTGAAAGTAGTATTACGAAGACTTCTCAGGTACTTGATTTCCTTCACCAATGATGAGAACAGTGACCTATCAGGCGAATCATTTGTGATTATGTTCACGGCCTACCATGAGTCCATTTCTACCTGAATAGGTAGCTCCGTTCTCTGAATTGCTAGCGAGAGACCCTCCATACATGCACTTAGTTCAGCCTCCAATGCATTCCTGCATGAAAAAAGCTCCCTGCATGATGTATATATGATTTGGCCCTTGCTGTCGCGGAGGACCATGCCAGCTCCTGCCTTCCCATCTAAAGACCAAGAGCCATCAACGTTGAGCTTTGACCAACCCTCCATAGGCAAAACCCATGTGATATTGTGAGCAACAGATGGTATCACTTGCGGTTCGGGCAAACAATATACAACAACCTGTTTACCTTTCAGAAGCTCCTCAACCTGTTTACCTTTCAGAAGCTCCTCATCTGAATATTTGAGCGGCACGAGGGCGGATCGCCACGCGGTGCAGACGCAGCGGAGGCTCTCGTAGTCTCTCAAAGGCGAGCCGTCGGCGGCCACCATGGCAGCGATGGACACGACGAGCTCGCTGTTGAGATCGGCCCAGGACCTGGCGGGCGCCGCCATCGTCATGGCGTCCCAGCGTTTTGCGTGCACAAGGGAGGATCTTGGCGGTTGGCATCGTGTCCGCACGTTATATACTCAGCCCCTAATAGAGAAAAATCGTACGTACCAGACGGGGTCTCAAACCATCAATCGTGGACACGTTGACGCTTGAGAAAAACGACTTATTTCAAAATCTTCTGTTTTTGGAATATAATAGTAAAGAGCTTTATTGATTATTCCTACATATCAATGTTCAGCTACACGACTTGTAGTCAGATGGTTAGAGAGACAGTGATTTTCCGGCACACCAAAATAACTCAACTATGAAATTTGGATAAGAAGATAGGCCACGTACGGTCTATCTTATACACATTCCAAAATCAGAGCAAGGTCTGAGAATTGTTCGTCGATGAACAGGCTTGTGAGAAACAGGCCATGCTGGGGATACAGTCAAGGCTTAACATAATCCTCTCCTTCAAGTTTGTGAGATCCTAGTTTATTATATTTTCCTTTGAGATAAATACACCCACGGTCACTGTAATTATGTTGGAAGCACGATACGATCACCCAACTTTGAAATAAGCTCGTTACAGTCATTGAATAAGACGGGACGTGAAAATACGGTCACTGTAGCGCATATGCGATGCGTACACGCAGTTTGACCATGTGTTGACCGCTTGTTGGGGACAGGTGGCGAACCATGGAGGCGTTGCTGTGGAAATAAGCAAAAAAGCCCTCAGGCATCACCGCATCTCCCATTCATTCCTCCTCCACTCCACCTACCTGTTCGTCTTCGTCGTTAGAGAAAGGGGGAGCTGCATAGGCGATGCCGCCCCGGCGATCATCGGAGGGATGGGGAGGCGACGGCCAGATTTCGTGCGTGGTTGAGGAGGCGCCGCCACCGCGTGCCTTCGCCACCCGTGGGAGGCGGCATCGATGTCCCATGTTCGTCGTGCAGAAGGGGCGGCGGCCCCCGTGTACAGTAAGTCCCCTAATCTGAAGAATCCCCCTATTTTGCTGTTTTGATGTTCAAAAACCCTCCTTTTCGGCCCGCATTGCCCTACTACATGTGTTGTAGTTGGTAGTGTTGGAAATATGCCCTAGAGGCAATAATAAAAGTGTTATTATTATATTTCTTTATTCATGATAATAGTCTTTTATTCATGCTATAACTGTATTATCCGGAAATCGTAATACACGTGTGAATACATAGACCACAATATGTCCCTAGTGAGCCTCTAGTTGACTAGCTCGTTGTGATCAACAGATAGTCATGGTTTCCTGGCTATGGACATTTAATGTCATTGATAACGGGATCACATCATTAGGAGAATGATGTGATGGACAAGACCCAATCCTAAGCATAGCACAAAGGTCGGTTAGTTCGTTTGCTAGAGCTTTTCCAATGTCAAGTATTTCTTCCTTAGACCATGAGATCGTGTAACTCCCGGATACCGTAGGAGTGCTTTGGGTGTACCAAACGTCACAACGTAACTGGGTGACTATAAAGGTGCATTACAGGTATCTTCGAAAGTGTCTGTTGGGTTGACACGGATCGAGACTGGAATTTGTCACTCCGTATGACGGAGAGGTATCTCTGGGCCCACTCGGTAATGCATCATCATAATGAGCTCAAGGTGACCAAGTGTTTTGTCACGGGATCATGCATTATGGTACGAGTAAAGTGACTTGCCGGTAACGAGACTGAACGAGGTATTGGGATACTGACGATCGAGTCTCGGGCATGTAACGTACCGATTGACAAAGGGAATTGCATACGGGGTTGATTCAATCCTCGACATCGTGGTTCATCCGATGACATCATCGAGGAGCATGTGGGAGCCAACATGGGTATCCAGATCCCGCTGTTGGTTATTGCCCGAGAGCCGTCTCGGTCATGTCTACGTGTCTCCCGAACCCGTAGGGTCTACACACTTAAGGTTCGGTGACGCTAGGGTTATTAGGAAGACTTGTATGTGACTACCGAATGTTGTTCGGAGTCCCGGATGAGATCCCGGACGTCACGAGGAGTTCCGGAAGGGTCCGGAGGTAAAGATTTATATATGGGAAGTTGTCAAACGAACACCGGAAAGTTTCAGGGTCATACCAGTATTGTACCGGGACCACCGGAGGGGTTCCGGGGGTCCACCGGGAGGGGCCACCCCTCCCGGGGGGGCCACATGGACTGCGTGGGATAGCAGCCAGTCCCTGGTGGGCTGGGCGCCCCCCCCTTGGGCCCATGCGCCTAGGGTTGGGGGGGAAACCCTAAGGGGGGCGCACCCCCCTTGCTTGGGGGGCAAGCCACCCCTCCCTGGCCGCCGCCCCCCTCTAGATCCCATCTAGAGGGGCCGGCCCCCCTTGCCCCTTCCCCTATAAATAGAGGGGTGAGGGGAGGGCAGCCGAACCACAAGCCAAGGCGCAGCCCCTCCCCTCCCCAACACCTCTCCTCCTCCGTACGTGCTTGGCGAAGCCCTGTCGGAGTACTGCTGCACCAACAACACCATGCCGTCGTGCTGCCGTTGGAGCTGTCTTCCTCAACCTCTCCTTCCTCCTTGCTGGATCAAGACGGAGGAGACGTCGCCCGTACCGTACGTGTGTTGAACGCGGGGGTGCTGTCCGTTCAGCACTTGGTCATCGGTGATCCGAATCACGTCGAGTACGACTCCATCATCACCATCCCCTTGAACGCTTCCGCACGTGATCTACAAGTGGTATGTAGATGCAAACTCACTCCCTTGACTTGTTGCTTAGATGAACTCATAGATGGATCTCGGTGAAACCGTAGGAAAAATTTTAATTTTCTGCAACGTTCCCCAACAGTGGCATCATGAGCTAGGTCTATGTGTAGTTCTCTTTGCACGAGTAGAACACAATTTTGTTGTGGGCATAGATCTTGTCAACTTGCTTGCTGCTAC